GTGTGTTCGTAGACCTTAATCCATAAGGTTAATTAATTACTTCCTATAAAAAGCACCTCACCCACAAACAGTCACCGCTAGCTACCCTGGGCTCTTTCATTATTTCAGCACCATGGTCCGCCTTACGAATCCATTGAGTGTAATCACCTTCTGCCTCACATTCTTTTTATTGTCTTTTCGCCTTGTTCTATATTTTTACCCTGCATGGTGGCAAGGGCTGCAGATTCTCTCTTGCTAACCCGTTACTTATTACGAGTTTCTTCCTAATTGTAGTGGCTTTTCTGGGATTCTGTTCACCTTTCTCAACCATCAACTCCATTGTTTACTTGATTTTGTTGTTCTTCTCCATTGTTTCCTTTGCCATCTTCCTTGTTTATTTAATTCCTATCACTCATGCTCCGGCGACCAAAGCTTCACCGGAGTTGGGGTCTAAAGAACAGCATCTCGGGGATTATTCAAATTTTTTAAAAAACCTGTTCGTGAATGACGAGTCTGACTGGCATGACATCTTGACTTCTTGCGTAATTAGAACTCAGGTGTGCACCAATCTTGCTGGGCACAGTAAACTTCAGACGGGCGCTGCTTTTTATACGAAAAATTTGTCTCCTATAGAGGTAAAAATTCTATTAACTTTCTCATATTGCCATCTCCTATTTATTATATATTATTGAAAATTCTTAAACGTAAGCATCTAAATTTTTTGAGTTAACGGCTTTTTCCCACCCAAATAATATGTTAATGACACTTTAATTCCCATCTAAGGACTTTTAAAATACAATTTTGTTACCCAAATTTATATTTCAATGGCAAATAGAAAGCAAAAACTTGATCTATACTGTTAGGTCTTTTGAAAATGGGAGGCAGATGAGTCTTTTGATGGTGAAATGTTGGATTTCGGTGATTAAGATTGATTGGAATTTGACTTGGGAGGGACGGATGCGTAAACCTTAATCGCTCGATTGGCGGGGTTGACGGAAGTAAGGTTTGAAGGGTTTTAGTGAGTGATAATTGGGAAAGAGAATGGTGGTGGTGTGGGATCGCAACGATGTTAGAATTAGAAACAAAATCTAAATTTGGATAATAAAGTGATATTTTAAAAGTTTGTAGGTAATCATTATTTGGCTGGGAAAAAGTAGTTTACTCAAGTATTTTTAATATACGGACGTGAGCGTTTAGTCAATGACTTTTGATTGCAGAATTTGTGAAGTGAACGACTAAATTTCTAGATGTTCATATTAGAGAATAACTTTGTGGGGATGTTTGGTTGGGGGTAATGTGAGATTACTAGAGTTATGTCATCTTATATTATTTGATTACCACGATTGGTTGTCAAATAATATAAAATTTCAGTAATCTTCAAATACCAATAATAGTTACTGTTGGTAATATTGGACGTAATCTGATTACCTTTATTTTTTTAGGTATTCTAAGATCACCAAGGTAATTTTTTTTTTAGTTACAATTCTATCATTTATTAATAAAATGTTAGGACAATAATGCCCTTATTTTTTAAATTTATTTACATGAATATGGTTTTTATAATTTTACCACAATTAATTAACTTTTTTTACAAAATTACCCTTGAATTCAAAACAAATTGCAGCTCACCCAAGCCACCTGCCGTCGGCAACCATCGTCGCGGCCAGCCGTCGCTACCGCCAAAACAGCGCACGAAAGGCCGAAAATGGCCTCCATATGCCGATATGGCCATTTTCGGCCAGATATTTGGCCGAAAATGGCCAAATCGTGCCAGATCTGGCCGTCAACGACCATCGATCTAGCCGTTGACTGCTAGATCTGTCACGTCTGGCCATTTCCAGTCAGATCTCTGGCCAGAAATGGCCATACGGTGCATGGAGGCCATTTCCTGCCTTCCGTGCGTCGTTAGGTTGTTGGCGACCGGCAGTGGTTGTGTAGGTGGGGGTACTTTGTTGATTTTCTAAACTTTTATTATTGGGCTGTTTTTGCTAAGTTTTTAAATGCAGGGGGGTTATATAATCCAAATAATAATCAGTATTAAAAAATAATATAATAATAATATTTAATTAGAGGACAATTCAATAATTTAAATAACATACCCAATAATTTAAACCTCCCAACCAAACATATTAATATAATATACCCATCAATTAACCAAACACATTTTCCTAAAGATTCATAGTAATCTTCAAGGTAATCTAACTTTCCAGTAATCCAACATTTCCAGTAATTTAACATTCCCTGAACCAAACCCCCCTATGTATCATTATGTGTATTAAAATTTTGATTTTGGTGTTGTTTCAGTCGGGTTGTTGCAGACCACCGATTGAGTGCAGGTTTGAGTATGTGAACGCCACATTCTGGACAGCACCAGCGTCAGGCGCGGCGGTGTATGACAGCGACTGCTTCAATTGGAGGAATGAGCAAAAGACGTTATGTTATAACTGCGATTCGTGCAAGGCTGGGGTTCTTGAATATGCCAGAAAAGACTTGAGAATTTGGGCTATAGTCAACCTAGTTCTTGTTCTCTTTCTCTTCAGCGCCTGGTTAGCATTGCTGTTTTCATTGGAAGAAGAAGAAGAAACTTTAGAATTACATTAACATTAATGCATTGCGATATAGACGATTGATGGAAAAAAAATTCTCCTGACTTAGTTAATGAATTTGCCTGTTTAGTGTTTTCTTCTTCCTATTTGAAATATAATTTACACAACCTTTTTATTTTTATTTCTTTAATGTCCCAGAATCAAACTGTATCCTAGGAAGTATATATTACGATAATTAACTCATCTCAAAATATTAATCCTTTCAATTACTTGGTTTACGTTATTATGACATCTTTAATCAAAATTTTCAAATCCGCAACAATTCGATATTCTAAACTAACCTCTTCCCCTGTGACCGAATAACAAACCCTTTGGCTATTGAGATTAGCTATATCTAAGGGGTCTTGTGTTTTGAGATTAGCTATATCTAGGGGGTCTTATGTTTGAGTTGCAAGAGAGGTACCCACCACATAATTTGAGCAATTACCTTGGTCAATTGAGCTTGTAGGGTATTCCATAGCTTTGAAGATTAGGCAGACTTCAATATGGGCCTAGATACCTTAGTTACCTAAAAAATATTTGGTTTCGTTTGGTACACTACTCTTACCCTATCCTATTCCACTATCTTATCCTAAAAAATAAAAAATGTGTTTGTTTTAATATTCTTCAAAATCCATTCATATTCTATTCAACTAAAAATATTTAACAATTACTTTTTTTTTTAATAAAAGTTTTAATATTAACAAAAACACTCCCACCCACCCAACTTTTTGCTGATAGTCGACCACCACCGTCGGAAGGTGACCGGAAGTCGTTGAAATGGCGCACGATCGACTGAATTTACACCCTTCTTACGTTTTAAATTTTTTGGACAAGTTTTACAAATTTATCCCTAAATGAAAAGTTAATTACAAAAAAAAGAAAAAAAAAATCTCTAATCCGTCAAATAAGTTAAACCCTCATTTTTCTTTTTGCATGGTCAAAAGTAAACCCCTCTTTCTCTACTTCCCAAACAAGTTCTTTCTCTATTACTCATAACTAATTCAACAACTTAGGTTTCAAATTTTTCCTAAATTTTTAATTTTTTATCCACACAAATATAGTTTTCTCCCACCTATTAAGTCAACAAACCCCTTTTTTCTTCAATTTGTGCTTATTTTAATTTAAAATTATATTATTCTTCCAACTTTGACTCCTTGTATTTCATTTTTGGCTGAGCCCCTAAGAGAGAGCATGCAGCAATGTGCTTTTTTTTTTTTTTTTTTTTTCTGTTATCCTATTTGAATCAAAAAACAGAATATGTGTTTGTTTACTTATTGAGATCATTATTCTGAAAATTAATCCAAATCAAATAAGATTTTTTCTATTGAAAATTAATCCACCCAAGACCACCACCGCTTGCCAACAACCACCGTTGACTACCGTCGTTGCTATCGATGGATATTGTCAGCATCAAAATGATGCAAGACCGGTCATTTGCCGATCTGGCCGATTCCAGTTAGATCTACAATCAGAGATCTGGCCGTTGACGACCAGATTTGGCTGTTAACAGCCAAATCTATCTGGCTAGATTTTGGCCATTTTCGACCAAATCTACGATAGATTTGGTTGGAAAATGCCATATTGGTGCACGACCGGCCAGATCCATCCAGTTGTACACCATTCTTATGACTGCCGGCTGCCATCCAGCGGTGGTGGCCGGTTGTCCCATTTGGTGGTTGGGGTATTTTTATTAATTTTTAAAGTTTTATTGTGGGGGGTGTTTAACTAAATTAACAAATATATGGGGTTAAAAATAATCTAAATATTTTCAGAAAATGTTTTCTAAAAATGTATCAAACAATTATTCAATATAATTTTCATATATTATATCAAACGCATTCTCAAATCTTACCTTATTCGATTTAATCTAACTCAACTGAACTTAAAATAATTTTCCAGAATAACATTTTTCAAATAATCTACTAAACAGGCCAGATTTTATTATCCTATTTCATCCCCACCAATTCCCGAAACAGCCCCATTCAGTAATTAACCGCTGCACACAATTACTTTTTTTTTCTCCTGTGAATTATGTTTACAAGTTCCATTTTTGGTTCTTTAATTAATTTGCTTCCCTATAAAAGCCACCTCAGCCACCAAACAAATCGCCGCTAGCTACCTCTGAGCTCTCTTCATTAATTTTTCAGCACAATGGTCAGTCTTAACAGCTCCATTGAGAGCTTAATCACCTGCTGCTCCATCATTCTTTCTACTGTCTCTTTCGCCTTGTCTCTATATTTTTTCCTGCACGGTGGCAAGGGCTGCAGATTCTCTCTTGCTACCCCGTTACTTATTACGAGTGTCTTCCTAATTGTAGTGGCTTTTCTGGGATTCTGTTCACCTTTCTCAACCATCAACTCCATTGTTTACTTGATTTTGCTGTTCCTCTACATTGTTTCCTTTGCCATCTTCCTTGTTTATTTAATTCCTATCATGCATGCTCCGGCGAGCAAAGCTTCACCGGAGTTGGGGTCTAAAGAACAGCATCTCGGGGATTATTCAAATTTTTTAAAAAACATGTTCGTGAATGACAAGTCTGACTGGCATGACATCTTGTTTTCTTGCGTAATTAGAACTCAGGCGTGCACCAATCTTGCTGGGGACAGTAAACTTCAGACGGCCGCTGATTTTTATACGAAAAATTTGTCTCCTATAGAGGTAAAAAAATTCTATAAATTTTCTCATATTGCCATCTCCTATTTATTATATATTATTGAAAATTCTTAAACGTAAACGTCTCAAATTTTTTTAATACACAGATCAGTGAGCGTTTAGTCGCTGACTTTTGATTGCAGAATTTGTGCAGTGAAGGACAAAATTTCTGGATGTTTATAGTAGAGAATAACTATATGTATCATTATGTGTATTAAAATTTTGATTTTGGTGTTGTTTCAGTCGGGTTGTTGCAAACCACCGATTGGGTGCAGGTTTGAGTATGTGAACGCCACATTCTGGACGGCAACGGCGTCAGGCGCGGCGGTGTATGACAGCGACTGCTTCAATTGGAGGAATGAGCAAAAGACGTTATGTTATAACTGCGATTCGTGCGAGGCTGGGATTCTTGAATATGCCAGAAAAGACTTGAGAATTTGGGCTATAGTCAACCTAGTTCTTGTTCTCTTTCTCTTCGGCGCCTGGTTAGCATTGCTGTTTTCACTGGAAGAAGAAGAAGAAACTTTAGAATTACATTAACATTAATGCATTGCGATATAGACGATTGATGGAAAAAAATTTCTCCTGACTTAATTAATGAATTTGCCTGTTTAGTGTTTTCTTGTTCCTATTTGAAATATAATTTACACAACCTTTTTATTTTTATTTCTTTAATGGAAAGCCCCCAGAATCAAATTGTATATATCCTATAGAGTATATATTATGATAATTAACTCGTCTCAAAATATTAATCCTTTCAATTACTTGGCTTTAAACTATTATGAAATCTTTAATCAAACTTTTTCAATCCGCAACTAATTCAATATTCTAAACTAATCTCTCCCCTTGTGACTAGATGACAAATCCTTTAGCTATTAGTATTTACTATACCTAGAGAGTTTTGTGTTCGAGTCGCATGAGAGGTACCTATCACATAATTTGTGCAATTACTTTGGTCCATTAGATTTGTAGGGTATTTTATAGCTCTAAGGATTAAACAGACTGTAATATGTGCCTAGATATCTCAGTTACCTTATATATATATATATATATAGCCGGGGATATCTAAGCTAGTTTACGCACATCTCAATTAATCCACCGAAACTCTGAAACTACCGGTCGAGGTTAAGCTCTCATTTCAAAATATTTATCCTTTCAATTACTTGCCTTTACATTATTATGACATATTTAATCAAACTTTTCAACTCCGCTACTAATTCAATATTCTAAACTAATTTTCACAAGTATTTGATTATCAAAGTTATTTAAACACATCTCAATATAATTAATCATCAATGAAATAGAATCTAATAAATTCATTTCTCAAATATAATAAAATCAAACATTATTATTTCATATCTCAAAAACAAAACAAAAAGATCAATCTAAACCATGCTATATAATTAAACTTAAAACAATACTAAAATATTATTTAAATTTAGATAATTATCTTAATAATACAAACTGTTTGGTCTTTTAGAAAGAAATTTAATAAAATACACAAATCAAAATTTGACTTTTATGTGAAGAAATATTGTTTTAGAATTAGAGAGAGAGAATTAGGAGAAAAGAGGAAAAAAAAAATAACGCAGAAACTGAAGAAGATGAAAGAAAACTTAAGGGTTGTGGTGTAACCTTTTCAATATTTTAGGATATATTAATATATTAAAAGTGTAAGGGGTATTTGGTAAAACTTTAGAATTTTTTTTTTTTCAAAAATCTAAGCGGGATACAGCTGGGCCTAGCCCACTCTGTGTTCCACCTTGGGCCCTTGCCGGGTTAAAAACTGTATTAAGTTGTTATTAGCAGCCCAATAGTACACCAAAAACCAGTGGGAGACTGTCTACAAAAGTAACAAACCGAACCCAAATCCAAACAGAAGTAAAACGGTAGTCACCAATTTGTGGTAAGGGAAAACCGTTTCGGTTGAAAACTAGTAATCCTTATTAGAAAAAATACGAGCGACGGCGAATACTTTATTATTTATTATTTTTTAAGAACTATATAATATGGGAAGTGAAGTGTTTGTTATTATTGTTATATATTAGCAGATTCTTTAAAAAAAGATATAATAATAATAATTTTTTTTTTTAGAATATCATTAATATGGGAAGATAAGTTTTTGTTTATTATTGTTATATATAACAGATTCTTAAAAAAGATATATAATAATAATAAGAATAAACGACTTTTTACACCTAAGGTTTGCCTTAATGAGCTTCCCATCTAGAAAGTTTTAAAACACCATTTTTTTTAGTCAAAGATTTCTTGTTCTATATCACCACCATTTGACATCCGGTATCTCTATCAAACTCCTCTCACTCCAAACACTTAATTTCTCGTCGATCGTCGGTAATCACAAAGTTAGACTTCCTATTCTTAGCTAATTTTTGGTTGATTCCGACATCGAATATTCAATCGGTCACCAACATCAATCCATCGACCTCCGTACTACAAAAAACCCTTTTACCCTAGCTTTTGATAACTTGTCGAATACCAATGAGAAAGTAAATATATTTTAGATATTAATAGAATATAAACGTTTGGGTGGGAAAAAGTCGTTTACTCTAACAATAATAATACATTTATTGTTCATGATAAATTGTCATTTTAAATAATTAATGAATTTATTATTGGATCTTGTTAATATTGACATATAAAATCTTTGTCATAACAACAAAACTAATCCTTTGCACTCTCTGGATAACTAACGACAAAAGTTACCAACTTTCATTATCTTTCTTAAGCTAAGATATCCCAAAAGCAGTTACGAATCCAGAAGAAAAAGGAAAGGTACACCCTTTCTTTCTTAGTTTTCCTTTCATTTAAACAGCGAAATCCAATATTCCTCATTCTTTAATCTCCATAAAAACCAGTAAATCACTCAAGAAAACAAATTAAATTAAGAAAAAATAACAATACAATGGCTCGCTTAAGCAGCTTTATGGTTCATAGCCGTAAATGGCTTTCTCTATTATTGGTTTCGTTTCCATCTCTTCTGCGGCTTATGCTCAATTTAACGGCGGCACAATTTGCCGAAAGCCCTAGAAGTTCCGCTACTGATAACGGGTCTTGTCTTACTGCTTGTGTCGTTGCTAGGGTGATTGGCTCATGTTGTAGGGCCAATGGTGTGCTGTTTTTGTATTTGCTTGTGATGTTCTTTGGGATAATAGGGCTTCTAGTTTTCACACATTTTGTACTTCTTGTTACGAATAAGGTTGTGGGTAAGAGAGTATCCCAAACCGTGTTCAGGATTACTCTCAATGGCTGCAAAATCAGTTAGTGAAGAAATTGGGAACAGATAAAGGCCTGTTTGATCGAGCAAAGGTGTGCAACGATCTTAATGATGCAATATCAAGGATTGGTCTTTAACGCAGGCAATTTTTTTCTTATTTTCTCTTTGTTTATAGGATCTTTTGATTAAAATGTTTTTGCAATTTTATGGTGATAATCTGAAAGAATTTCTTCTATCCAATAATTTCAGTCGGGCTGCTGCAAGCCACCAACGTTGTGGATAAAAATCAAGAACTCGACATTTTGGTGATGCCAGAAAAAGGTCCAGCAATGCCAGACAGTGACTGCACCACCTTCAGTAACCACCAGCAGACGCTTTGCTACGATTGCAAGTCATGCAAGGGAGGAATCTGCGCAGAAATTAGGCAAGAATGGAGACCTTGGGTGTATTCAATATCTGTTTGTGGCCATTGTGATCATGATGTTCTCTCTTGGTTGTTGCATTAGGAAGATCTATAAATATGAACAATAAGTACGTTAGATATAGTCCCACTATTGAAATTTAATTTTCTGTTCAAGAGTTGATTTAGGGAAAACTATTTCCATGAATTGTTTTGATGTTGTCTCAGCTATTCAAGTGTGGACAGATGTAGGGATTCTTTGTATAACCAAATTTTATTTCATTAGAGATGACAAAAAATATATAATTTTGAGGATACATGTTAAATAGTTTATATTTACGCGTTAAAAGATTATCTTCCAGTAAAATTTTAATCAAATGAGCCCAGGCTAAGAATTTTAAAAAGTTCACTTATTTTCTTCGTTATATATCATTGTGTTTAAATTTTGGTTCGGTGTGGTTTAGTGGACCTCTGCAGACCACCAATTGAGTGCGGGTTTTGAGTATGAACAGCAAGGTTCTGAAAACTGGACCGGTTGGACGGGGACCACCAGCCTCTCCGATCAGGTTCAGGTTCCACTACTATTTCATGGGGGTTTTGCTAGATTTTAAATCTGTAGGGAGTGAATGGTATACTTTAGGGGTGTTTTCGCAGGATTTCAAACTTCAGGGGTAATTATTATTTTGGGTCATTTTTGCAATATATTTAAATTTAGGGACTCATTAATTTTTAGGGGTATTTTTGCAATATATTAAATTTTTAGAGCTACTTTATATTTTTAAAATATTGTATTTCTCGGTTGGACTGATCAACCCAGGACCTGATCGCTTGATTGGGTCATGTGTCGGGTCGGTTTTCATAACTTGGTATGATCGACATGTTCACAAGTTCAAATCTACACATTTAACTAGATAAAAGATAAATTCAGTGTTCATGAGGGGGACTAATTGGACTTAAAATTAATTCGAGCCTTTATCTATTAGCTAAATGGTTTTAAAATCAAACGTTTCAAGTCCGGATTCCCACATTTCAATTTGATAAAAAATAGCATCCAAATTTCATATTAGAATATCTATTAGCATATCTATATGAACTTATTTATTTTCATATTAGAATATCTATAGCATTACTAATATATGAACTCTTATTTATTGGTCTAAGCTTCTGTAATAAATAAATCCAAATTCATGTGAAACAGTCTATTGAAATTATATATTATGTTAAACATTACCTAATAATTTTACCTTTGAGGTAAAGTGGTAATCTAATAGAATAGTGGGTTGCAGCCATGCATGACCGCAATTCAAATTTAGGGAGCAAGCGACATTAGATATGACCGCAATCATGCAAGGTTGGGGTTCAGATCCTTGAGAATGTGGGCTATAGCCGACCTGTGTTCTCTTCTCTTCATTGTTGGTTATTGTTGTTGTGTCATTGGAAGAGGAAGAAACATCGAATCCAGAAAATAAGTTATGATGAACATCTTTGTTAATTTGAGTAGTTTTAAAATTAAATAATATTTGTAAATGCAAAAAAATCTACAGTTACAAAAATAAGGTTTAATCCCGTAATATTGAGGCCACTGACAATCCACTGAACATGCACACATAAAGAGACAAGCGTAAAGCTTACAGAAAATACGGGGTGGTATTATCGTAGACACACCGATACTCAAGTCAACAAGACTAAAAGAGGTGATTAATAAGAATTAAGAAAAAGAAGGATTACGAGAGCTTTGTCGGAGGCCAGGACCATAATGAAGGTGTAGAATTCTCAGGAGCAAGAACTTGGGAGTAAGTAGGTGATTTTGATGTGTAGATTGAATATTGGATCATGGATCTTTGCATCCTAGTGGGACTTTGAGTTCATAATATAGAAGTTTAGTGAATAAGAAAATCTTTGACT